CTACCCACCCTCCCATCATCCACTCACCCTCCCACTCACCCTCCCATCCATCCACTCACCCTCCCATCCACCCATCCACCCTCCCATCCACTCACCCTCCCATCCATCCACTCACCCTCCCATCCACTCACCCTCCCATCCATCCACTCACCCTCCCATCCATTCACCCTCCCATCCATTCACTCTCCCATCCACCCACCCTCCCATCCATCCACTCACCCTCCCATCCACTCACCCTCCCATCCATCCACTCACCCTCCCATCCACTCACCCTCCCATCCACTCACCCTCCCATCCACTAACCCTCCCATCTATACACTCACCCTCACATTCACCCAGCCATCCAGCTATCCTTTCAACACTTATTGTCCAATCCATTTATCCACTCATCCCCTCATTTGTCTATCCACCAAATAGCCTCTGATTATATGCCATGTACCAGACACTGTTCTAGGCCTTGGAGGTTCCATGATGAGCAAGCCAGACGAGGCCAGTGCTTTCATAGAGCTTACATTCCAGAGAGGGAGAGAGACAGTAAACAACCAAATAAGCAGACATGTACCGACGAGTCCTGTGAAAAGCAGAGCAGTGTACTGCGGAGTGTCTGTGTGGGGGCTGCTTTCACATGGGTGATCAGGTAGGCCTCTGAGCAGGTGGCAGCCGAGCTGAACTCAGAGGGAAGGGATGAGCGTGCAAAGGCAGGTGGGGGCAGGGGTTCTAGGCAGAGGAAGCAGCAAATGCAAACGCAGGCGTGACCTCAGCCAAGGACCAGAGTGGCCAGTGAGCACGGCAGGAGTAGAAAGAAAGTGAACCCAGAGGGGTCTGCAGGAGGTGGATCACAGGGGGCTTGAAGACCACGGCAGAGGTCTGGATTTTATCCAACGAACAGCGGGAAGCCATTGGAGGGTCTGAGCAGGGAAATGACACACTCTGAATAACTGTGTGTGTGTGTGTGTGTGTGTTTGGTGAAAATCTAAAGAAATTTTAACTCTTTAATTTTTAATTATTAAAATAACAAATACTCCTTGCAAAAAATTTAAAAATACAAGAGCACATCAAGTAAAGTATTTCCCACTTCCCAATCTCACTCCCCTCTGAGAGCACCTTAGTCTATCCTTGCAGGCATTTTATTCTACGCATATAGTCCTGAATGTTTGCTAATATATACATACACACGTGCATAGTCTACTCATCCAAAAGTGGAATTGTAGTTTCACGCTGTTCTGCAATGTGCTACTTTTTACTTAAACTTATCACAGACATTTCTTCATGACATACGTAGCATATCAGAGATAGATAAAAGCTAATTTTCCAGTCTTTCTATCACAGTGCCATGTAAATATACAAAGGAAGATTTGAAATAGAGACTTAGAACATTATTCATTCATTCATTCATTCATTCACAAACATTTATCGAGCACTTTCTATATGCTAGGCAGACATGAATCTAGCTTGATTTTTCAATTTGAGATATTATCTATTCACTTGTACTGTGAAAGAGGAGACTGACTCTCTATAATCATTCACAACACACATACACACACACACACACACACACACTTCTCTACATATACCAAAATAATTATATAGTAACTTTTTTCCAATTTTATTGAATAATTGACATACAACACTGT